GTGACAAGGCTTTTTTTAACTTATTACTAATATATCATAACGTTAAAGTGTTTACATAGTTTTTTTTTTTTCCTCTTGGTACTGGGAATTGAACCCAGGGGTGCGCTACCACTGACCTTCATCCCCAGCCTGTTTTTAATTCTTTATTTGGAGACAGCTTATCTTTCCAGGCTGTTCTTGAACTTGCCTCAGCCTCYTGAGTCCCTGGGAGTTCCGATGTGCACCTCTGCACCTGGCTTCACCTATATTTTTAAAGAAGGTAACACAACCACTTGATAAAAAATTCAAAGGTTGGCGGTATCTTGTGAAAAGCCTCCTTCCCAGCCATCCAAGGAAACCTCTTTGTGTATTCAAGTGCAAATGCGTCTATAACTTCCCTCAGCTTTTTTCAATGAAAATGATAATGTACTATCCACACTTCCTGCATCTTGCCTTTTAAAAATCATCTGAGTGTCCTTTTTCTTTTTAGAGCATAGTATTCCATGCTGTGAATACACCACCMTTAAATTTAACCGTCCTTCTATAGATGGAACGTGTTAATACAAACAGTATTGCTATGATACTTGTTATATACAAACCGTGTCTTCTTATTACAAACAGTATTTAGTATTACAACGGATAACTGGAAAATGTCCCATTTCAGCCATGGGCAGTTGTATCACTAAGATMGAGACCCAGAGTAAGATTGAGGGTCAGAGGATAAACAGATGAGTAATTTKTAAAGCTATCAACAAGTTCATCCTCATAAAGCACGCACCATTTTATAGACAAGTGATTAATGAACACACAGTTTCATTAACAAAATGCTAGCTCCTGGATTCTGTTCAGCAGGGATAGGTGTTCCCAGCATAGTTTGTGTGGAAGAGGGRGATGGGACACGGGCATGCTGGGAGCTCCAGGTGTCCAGAGCTGCTTGACCAAACACAGCAGTGGGGACTCCATTGTGTCATTCAGTGCAACAGAAGAGCCCACCAGCTTTGTAATTTTCATTTATTTGTTTGAAAWGGGTTTTTAATTTTAGAATAACATTTTTAACATGTGTATTTTAAAATTGACTTTTGGCATAGAGGTCTATGAAGTTTAACACATATATTATTGCCATCACCACCACAGTACAGAACAGTTGCATCACCCCAAAGCTGMTGCATATCACCCCTTTGAAGCCACATCTAAGAACATCTAGACCCCCTGGGCAAYCCCTGATCCATTCTCTATCATTATGGTTTTGTCTTTTAGAGATGATATATAAATAGAACTGCTCAGTATGTGACCCCTGGGTCTTGGCTTTTTCTGCTCAGCATAACTTGCTTGAAGCTTCACCAGAGCTGTCGCACACATTAGTAGYTTGATGTTTTGCATTGCTCAGAAGTATTCCACTGTATGCATATACCACAGCTTATCTACCCACTCGCCCACAGAATGGCATGGGTTGTTTCTATTTGGGAGTGATTGTTAACAGAACTTCTATAAACATGCATTTACCAACTTTTGTGGGAACATAAACTTTAATTYACCCTCAGTGTAGTTCAATTTTCATGTGTTTTATGAGTAAGTGCAGGGATATTTTTAAATATCTGAGAGACATTTACATTTCCTTTTTCATAAACTGCTCCTTTCTGTCACCATTTTTTGCAGGAAGAGGACTTAGGTGATTTTYATATTCGACAAGTTGGTTTGGGGAGCTGACAGGTCATCCATGCGGACTTATTTAGCATTTAAGTTTAAMATGCAGGGCTAAACTGGGCACTGGGGTGGCCGCCAGTAATCTCAGCAACGAGAGGCTGRGGCAGGAGGATCTCAAATTCAAGCCAGCCTCAGCAATCGAGTGAGGTCCTAAGCAATTTAGTGAGACCCTGTTTCAAAATAAAAAATAAAAAAGAGCTGGGGATGTGGCTTAGTGGGTTCAATCCCTGGTACTAAAAAGAAGAAAAAAAGAAAAAAGAAAAAAACAAGGCAGGATTAGAATTAGAGACACCCAAAGATAGACTTGAGAGTCGCGGTGATAAAGAATGGAGAGGTGAGTGCATGGACCTGCATAAGCTCTTCAAGAGAGAAAACATACGAGGCTTGAAGATAGAATCTGGAAATGCCCACGTTCAGGATGTGGACAGAAGAGCTGAAAGAGGAAGCCAAGAGTGAGACTTCAGAGGTCGGAGAGAGCCAGGAGAGGCAGAGTGAAATAAATGTCTAAGTCAAGGACCGCAATCCACAGGACACAGTGTTCAGAGGTTGAGAGAACATCGCTGCCCACGAATCCYGGCTGAAAGCCCCGACGTCACTCTGACTGGACTGGGAGGCCATGTGACCACCTGCCCACTGCTCTGTGATTGGTGGTGTGGAGCACCAGTGGCCTCCCAGGTCACCATGCTCCAATCCCATGGTTTCCAGAACCTCCTGGATCCCCACAGAGAAATCCAAAGTTGTTGGGAGGAAGACATAGGTGCCCAAGAAACAACCAACAAATACATAGAAGGTGGCCTTTGAGAGGCGGCATCTAGAAGCTTAGACAGCAGCCACGTGCCAGCAGCCACGTGCCGTTGGGAAACTGGAGGCACCATGTAGATGGGAGGTGCGAGACTCCCCCCCCACCACCCCAGGAGGTGGCCTTCCCATCTGTCCTCCCTGCAGCCAAGACAGTCTTTTGAAAGTGAAAATCTAGTTCTGTTGTCACCCAGCAAGCGCTGCACATGGCTAGCAAGGTGTTGTCCTTGTGAAGTGCATGGGACGGTAGGCTCCTGCCGGTGCTTACTCTCCTGTCCTTCCCCGAGAGACCATCAGGATCCACAGGCTGTCCCGTTGCCCCCCTAGGTAACAGTGACTGGTTGTGCACCAGACTGCAAGCTGCGTGGGTGGGGATTGTATTTACTTAGTTCACTCAGCATTCTCTAGTGTCCTGTCTAGCATACAGTAGGCACTCATATGTGGCTTTGACAGAATGGATGGATGCTCACTAATCTATGAAATGTGCTGCAGTCTCAGTGTTTATTTCTAAGACCCAATTCTCTCCCAGGGTTTACCCACATCAGGTGGCGTTTTATAGGCAATCAGCAAAAATAAAATAATATGAGGCTTATTTTTTTGCTCTCCCTCACTTTGATCTTTGAGGACATAGTGTTCACCTTCTTTTCTCTGCCCTCCCATCCATTCTACCTTGTGAGGGCACAGCTGTGAGATCCTCACCAGGCACTAAATGCCAGCACTTTAACTTCAGGCTTCCCAGCCATCARAAGTGCAAGAAATAAAATGTTAAGCCAGGCAAGATGGTGCCCACCTGTAATCCAACTTGGGAGGCTAAGGCAGGCTGAGGCTAGTTTCAGGTCCACCTGGGCAACCTAGCAAGACCATGTCTCAAATAAAAAATAAAAAAAGGATTAGGATGTAACTCAGTGGTAGAGTTATTCCTGGGTTCAATCCCCAATAATACACACACACACACACACACACACACACACACACACACACACACAGAATGAAGTTACTAGAAAAAAAAAGAGCCTGCCGTTTCAAAGCATCTCTGGGCTTACAGAGTAGACAACATGAGCCAAGCTCACCCTCTCAAGCTGAAAGAATTATGGACAAGAAGTTATCACTGAAATTAAGTGGTCACAGACATGTCCATGGGACATTGCAGGGATTTCACCCCTTTATGAATCTCCTGATAGATGAGCATGTGGAGATGGCAACTCGTGGGCAACAGAACAATACTGGAATGGTGGTCACGTAGGGAAATGGTGTGATCACGTTTGAAGCCTTGGAATGAGTATAAATAATGGTTATCCAGCAGAGAAATCTATGTCCCCTCTCCTGAGGGCCTGTTTAACTATGACATAAAAATCAGACCATGTACATTTTCATATTAAACTTTTTGTTAAATAAACTTTTTAGTAGTAAAATTTAAAAAGCCATGCTTAGAATTCTAATACTAATATATCTGTGTCTATCCATCTAACCCATATCTATGAAAATAAAGTTGGAGGAAATATACCAAAGCATAGATCGTGCTTAATTTCAGTGGCACAACCACGGATCTATTTTTCTTATGCTTTTCAAAGATTTCCAGATTTTCTACAATGCATGTGTATTGCTTTCTGGTGTTTTCCAGATTTTCCAGTGTGTTAGGAAACATGTTTTAAATGTTTCAGTTGTAAACTTCCAAAATAATCCACATGAAATCTGAGACAAAACCATAGCAAGCTGTCAGTTCTCTGACTTAACTGTGTTGGTCTATTGATTGATTCCATGAAGACTTCATCTTCTAATAAATTTTGCAGTGAGAAAACTAAAGGAAGAAGAAAAGGTGTGACATCAAGAAATTCATGATATTTTAAGAGGGKAAGGAAGGGAGGAGGAAAGGAAAGAAAGAAATGTTCTTCAATCTAAAATGTCCTAAAGAATGGGATTAGGGAGAACATGGTACAGCAGCTCAATGAAATTGTATGCATGCTGTTTGACACTGGGTCTCTGAAGACAGAGCGGTGGTCCAAGTCCAGCAAGGTGAGCTTGGACTCCACCATTTCCAAAGAGACTTCTCAATCCACCTGCACATATGACATGCCACCCCTGCTGCTTGAAGATGCTATGCTCTGCTTGCTGTCAGTGTGGYTTCCCCAGAAGCTACCTGCCCCCTCCAGCCAGCCTGCAGTCACAACCCTGCCTGCCCCCAAGGATGGCAGCCTCTTGAAGACCATGACAATATTTATGATATAAGTTTTGGAATACTTTTAAGATTCAAGTAACAAACAAGGCTAAAAGAACCATGAGATTATAGGCCTTTATTAAGGACGACAAAATTAGTTCTAAAATGCAGGGAAAAAAATGGAAGAAAATATGTAACATGAATAACATGGTTATGTGCACTTCTTCCTATTTTTGTTCTTTGAGCATGTACTGTGAAAGGTAACAGTGCAGAAATTGTATTTTCAATATCAAATCAATCATCTTGGGCTCAAAATTAGAGCTGTACCCAAGGAAGCACTCACCGTTGTTCTCTCTCCTCGCAGGATGTGCTGGGTGGCGTCCTGATCACCGTGTTCCTCATTGTCCTCACCTACCCTGCCTGGACCCTCATCGACTGCCTGGACTCGGCCAGCCCCCTTTTCCCCGTGTGCGTCCTGGTGGTGCCGTTCTTCTTGTGCTACAATTACCCTGTGTCTGATTACTACAGCCCGACCCGGGCGGACACCACCACCATTCTGGCTGCAGGGGCCGGGGTGGCCATAGGGTTCTGGATCAATCATTTCTTCCAGCTCGTGTCCAAGCCCGCGGAATCGCTCCCTGTCATTCAGAACATTCCACCGCTCACCACTGACATGTTAGTTTTGGGTCTGACCAAATTTATTGTGGGAATTGTGTTGATCCTCTTGGTGCGTCAACTTGTACAAAATCTCTCCCTGCAAGTATTGTACTCGTGGTTCAAGGTGGTCACCAGGAACAAGGAGGCCAGGCGGAGACTGGAGATTGAAGTGCCTTACAAGTTTGTCACCTACACGTCGGTTGGCATCTGTGCTACCACCTTTGTGCCAATGCTGCACAGGTTTTTGGGATTGCTCTGAGCCTCAAACAGTTGAAAACTAGCCCACTGGACATSAGAGCCAAGACTCAGGAAAGTTGTTGGGTGGGCAATCTTGACCACTTGTTTTTCTCTGATACAGCTTAAGTCACACATCTGTGCTGCTGATACCAGATAAATGCTGCTGCGGTGGAACTGATGCTCCCATTAGTCTGTAAGGATTGTGCTACAGCCAACCCAAGCGGAAAACCATAACTGAATTCTTCAAGAACATCCCTCCCCTTTCTGTTACATGGACTTTGGACCTGGTCCTGGGCGGGCAGGAGTTGTGGCCTTGCTGAGGAATGTGTACAAATCTCAGTGGGCTCTGGAGAGCCAACAGAGTTGGAGGATGTGGAGGTAGAACATGTCTTTTTAGCTATGACCTTGACCAGCACTGAATCTCATTTCCAAATTTGGAGCTTTGGTCTTGGAGAAAGGATGGYGCCATGCACAACCACATTCCTCGGACAAGACAACTTCCTTGTGTGATGGTCAAGTTAGATTACGACCATGGGAATAAAGCTTCCTGGGAGGAGATGAAGGGTGCCCGCAGAGCTATGAGGCCACGGGAAGAGCCTGCTTTCCTCATGAGGCCTAGTCTCCTCCAGGTTCATGTGGAAATGAGGATCTGCTCTTCCTTGACCATACAATTTGCAGGGTCCCAGCTTCCAGTACTATACTCTTGTGACCCACAGAATGACTGGCCGCTGCCACCTCATCACACGTTGACTTGACTGGGACATGCTGAGGTTCCTGCTCTCTCCTGCCTCAGTCTTTGATGTCGTCAGCAGTGTGGGCTTTCATGTAAACTTGGAAGTTACTGGCATCTGCCTATGAAAGTGCATCAACAGAAGAATGGATGAACCTTAATCCTTTGACTCCAAGGGGATAGGCTTCTGTGATATTGCCTGATGGTGACAGGGCTTCCTGACATTTCTCCTCCATTTCACACTGACTTTCTGTAGTTCTGCTTTCTCATCCACTAGATAGAATCTCTCTATCTTCCCACTTCTTAACTCTTGGCAATTTTAAGGTCACTAATGGCAAGAACAACTTCAGCTTCTCTTCAGAAAACAAGCAAATCAAATAGAAGATCCACTAAACCTAGGGTGAGCTCTGCTTAGCCTCAGGAAGGTGATCATATGCATACACGAGATTTTCCTCTTCAGTTCTTAAACGTAAAGAATAGGTACCAACAACTTTCTCAAATGTTACTATAAATATGTAGTTAACAAACTCTCTTTTGGGGAATAGTCCCTAATCCACAGAAGCCAATGTTTTATGCTCCTAAGATATCATTACTATGTACGCATTTTGGGAAAAAAATTATCTTCCTTAAAATTTGCAGAGGCTCAGTTAAAACTGAAACCCACGTTTCTCCTGATTTCAAATATGTTCCATGGCCTTAATGTTGGGATGATCTTAGACTTAGTGCTTCAATTTTTCAAGAACAATTTTTAGCAAAACATACCATTTTAACTGAAAATTCTTTTCACACTTATCATAGTTAGAAGGYAGGGATCAAAAGGGATCTATCACTTGCACCACATGATTGGGGGGGAGACCCCTAGCTTGCAGGCCCTCCTGCCTAGGGCTGCCTCTTTAGTGCAGTGGCTGTTGGTTTGATAAGGCCCTTTCCCATACTTCTGTCCCTACCAAAAGCTAAACCAGTTTGCAATACTGGATCTTATTTACAGAAAATGATTTTATTTGGTGTGTCTGAAGTCAGGTGACAAAAGGATCAGCTTTGCCCACTTGTAATTTTGGAAAAGAGAGGCTGTAACTAGTGTCATAGCAGTAGGTGTGAACATTCACATATAAATTTTTTTTTTACAGTTCTCCCTTTTAAGTCCCAAAATAGGAAGGTTAAGCCATTATATGGATGTATTCAAAGCTATATTTACAGAATTTGAGTGGAAGATGAATGTATTAGCCAYGGAACATTAAAGAAGGATGTCATGATTGGCCACTTTTTAAAATATCTGATCACAGCAACGGGAGAATAAGGGTATGTTGGTGAGGCCAAGCATATATAGTTTGAGGGACTTCTGGTCTATGGCCTAGAATCAGGCAGAAACCGATTGAAAAAATGTCATTTCTTGATTCAAACGCTACCTTGCCGTCCCTCTTCCATGCATCTCTCATACAGAACTTCCCGCTACTTACACCACCACCACCACCACCACACCTCCCACAAAGTGTTCTCCTTCAGGGAGCTGGGCCGGGGTCTCCTTTCATGAAGTGTGCATTTCCTCTCTGGGGGAAGACTGCCCCCTGCTGGTTTGGCTTTAGTCTTGGTCCAAAGCCCCTCTCTTGATCTGGAATTTCAGAGATTAAGACTGTAAATCCAGCTTCCCACAATGTGTCCAATGTAAGCCTACATGGCCCAGCCAACCTTGATGCCAAGCCCCCAGGGAGCCAGATAGAATGACACACCCTTTTCCTGATTGTCCCCATGCCACCCCCAGCTCACTGTCACTRTGGTCTGTGGTGTTCATCCTTTAACCTTCATTCTGTTTCATGACAGTTTTGCTCAAATCTGCATCATAACAACACATGGAGGCGGGGCATAGAAGAGACCCCTGGACTAAAGGGGACTTCAATGRCAGAGGATGAAATTGCTCCAGCACATGCTCAATTGTTCACTGAAACATGGSATTTTCTTGCCCAAATAGACAACTCATGCTCCCCAAGTGTAATCAAAGCATGTGGTGTTTCAGAACCATGTGTTCCAGGTTTCTATTTTGGAAGCCTTCAGCTGTCTTGCTTATGTACGGTATGTAAATTTATTCTTTTTAAAATAAATCATTTTTGTTTGATTCTGACTTCTTATTAAATGCTTCAAAAGTCAATGTTCTGTTCCTTTGGATTTTTTCCCCCTTACCCTGGATCGTTTTTCTGAGTTCACTGGACCTGAGTTGGAAAAAGGGGATAAAGATAAGTGGCAAGTTGCATGATTCTGTTATCATGATTCAATCACATGCAAATACCACTAAGCCCCATAGCGGTCACGCATGATTAGTGGAAATATTACACTGGCATGCTTAAGTGCCCACCTCTATGTCCTTTTACTGTAAATGAGATAAATTTCACTCTGTGTTGGAAGGTGTGTTAGAGCTGCTGCTGGTAAGGTGAGTGCACTATCTGCTAAACCAAAGTAACAACTGCAACTATGTGGTCTGCCTCCAAGTACCCCGGTTTGCTAATTTGAAATGGTATGAGAAGTTGACACTTATATTTGCAAGAGCAGTCTAGGAGTCTCTTTGTACTGTGAGCAGGATGCATTTATTACCTACGATGCCAGGCACCATTGGAATGAGCAACTCCAACCTGTCCTGTGGAGTTCTCCAAGGAGAGAGAAGACACAGGCTCAGAGAATTACAATTCAAGATCTGAAGTGTTAAGACTGTAGGGAAAACATACCGTGTCGTGGGATTCGGGAAGAGGGGGAGATTAATTCCAGGTGGAGGACTGCAGCAATGCAAGCAATGTGTAGAAGCAATGTATGAGCCAGGCTTAAAGAACACGTGGGATCAGCTCTGACCAGAGGTGCTTCCCCAGATACCTTYGGTGCTTACAAGGAAAAACCAAAGTAAACTCACCTAGATATTGTGTTAAAAATGAAGGGACATCTACAGGTGACTTCAGACTCCTTCCCCTTCTACACCTCTGAATTGCTCACTCACAACCTTGTTCCCAGAGAGCCCTGGGTGGAGATGACCAGCATCTGTGTCCTTTGTGCCCATTGTGTTCCTCAGTCTTGTCTTTGCCCAGTTCCCTGAACTAGTTCTGTGAAATGAAACTTGTAGAATATTTCCATGATCCTGCCTCCTGTGGGGAACTTAGTACCCCCGCCTCTCTCTCTGATGATTACGAGTGAAGCCCTGGTTCTCTAGTAAGGGGCAGAACCAAGTGAAATAGTGGTATACGCTTGCCTTACTTTACACAATAGATGTTTTCCTCAAAGCTGCTTGTATTTTTCAGACTTTAAGTTCACTGAAGGGTTTGCTGTTTAAAACTCATATGGCCATCCTTCGTTTCTCTAAACATAAGGCTTTAATAAATTACTTGGGGTGCACCATGAATCCTTTGTTTTCTTAAAGTGGGGCACACCTGTAGGACACATTTAAATATTTACAGATGCATATTAAGAATGAGAGTTGAATGTGGGCCATGAATAGAATGTTAAATTCTTAAAACTGCAGCCACATGAGACAAGGGAGCTACACGAAGCCAAAAATTCTTCTTCCTTTTTCACGCCTGTCTATATGGCATGCAAAAACAAACAAGAAAAGCAAKGGTGTAGCTGGAGTTCGGCGGGAACGCAGCCTTAACGCACACACTYGACACATCTGCCGGCCTTGCTTTCTCTCTTGCTGTGACATACAGGTCCCCTTGGTCAGAGTCTTCCTAATGCAGGTGTTCAAAGAATGTCAATACCTCTTTAATATACACAGCACTGGCCTGAGGTCCTTGATGAGGCGGCAGGGTGGCCCCTAGGGCTGCCTTACTGCCTGCGTTGCACAAGTCACTTCCTCTACCTGTATGCATGAGCCTGGAGGACTGAGGTCTCCTGGGCTTCCAGGCTGCCGCGTCCTTCAGTCACACAGGACAAATTATACACAGAGTACACAAAATGCAAGCCATTTTAGACATCCTAATTAAGTACTGATAAAAAGATGTTGAAGTTTCTCGAAGATCAAAAAGGGATTTCCATTATGCCTCCTATACAAACCCCAGTCCAGGCCCTCCGTGTGACAGCTGGGCCCAGGGCTTTCCATAAGTCATCCGGCCTAAATGACCTTCCTACAGCACGGTTTGTTTATGGGGAGCCTCTCTGTCTGGCTCATCTTGCTTCACCTGCCTCAAAGCTACCCCAAGTGCTTCTTGCTTAAATGTTCTGCCCAAGACTCACAGTCAGGACATCTTTGATTAACCCCRCCCATCTCTAGCTGGGATGTGACACGGTATCTGCCCAGCACCAAAAAAGGGTGTTTACACAAGCTTACTTCCACCCAAGGCTTCCTGTCAGCCTTTAGGAGATCCTTATTTAGGGACGGGCATATTTTCATTGTTCACTACAGAAAGTGGAGGCTTGTGGAACTATATTATTGTGCCAAGTTTCAAAGAGCTAGCACAAACCGTGTTTTATTTAGAGTTCAAACTACATGTATCCATATAGGAGAAAACAGAGTGAAACCTAAACATGAAAACGGTTACTGCAAAGGAAAGGTTTAACCTAGAAGAAGGAAATGTGGTCAGCCATTTCTTTGGCTATAGAAAAGTCACATTTCCCCCACATCTTTATGCTGTCTTATGGCCTGATTTACTTGGCACTCACAAATCCTCCAATCCCAGTGCTGCAGTTGCTCTCAGCCTCGCCACTGCTTCCTGACATTGATGGGCTGTTTCAAAATGTTTTCTAATGCAGAATCATGCCATGTTCCTGGCCTCCTGAATCAACAATGAAGTCTGAACCTTATGAATGAGATGTGAAAAACTCGAGTGTTGTCCTTGAACTTTTTTTTTTTTTGGTTTTAGGGATTGAACCCAGGGGTGCTTAACCACAGAGCCACATTCCCCAGCCCTTTTTATTTTTTTGAGACAGGGTCTCACTAAGTGGTTAAGGCTGTCTTTGAACTTGAGATCCTCCTGGCTCAGCCTCTTGAGTTGCTAGGATTACAGGCATGTGCCATTGTCCCCAAGACTGAACATGTTCTAACAGGGCATTCATCACATGGGGGTGGAAAAAACTCAGGGCTTTTAGGCAGACACAATTTCATGAACCCTTTGCTGGAGACATTTTTCCAATCCACAGTCTGGCTATAACATTTGGTTGTTCTGTCTGCTATAAAATCAAAGCAGACTGACTGTAAAGGAGACTAAGACTGCTTTGCATGGACTTTGCCCTTCTTGACAAGCAAGGTCATTTGACTCCCCTACTTTTGTCCAAAGAGGTCACGTTCCCCACACTGACTCTGGTCAAGGGTCTTAGGGAGCYGCTCACAGGCACCCAGAGGTGCACTGCTGCCTTTAGTTTTATTACACATGCCAGTCTTTACTTTTTTAAAAAATTATTTTTTTAGTTGTAGTTGGACATAATATGTTTATTTATTTACATGTAGTGCTGAGGATGGAACCCACAGGCTCACAAGTGCTAGGCGAGTGCTCTACCACTCGGTCACAACCTCAGCCCGTCTTTGGTTTTCTTAAATGTAATGTTCAGTTTGTCTTTGCTCAGGCTGCCATAACAAAATACCATGGGCTGGGTGGCTTAAACAACAGAAATTTATTTTCATAGTCCTGAAGTCTAGAAGTTCAAGATGCCAGCAAGGTAGATCTCATTCTTTGGGCCACAGTGAATAGCCACTGTCTCACTGTGTGCTCATGGGAACCTTTTTGCTGTGTTCAGAGTGAGGGGAGATGAGAGCCRGCGCTATAGTGCCATTTCCAAGGGCACCAATTCCATCACACGTTCCCCCTCATGACCTCATCTAGCCCTCATTACCTTCAAAAGCCTCATCTCTAAATACCAGMACATTGTGGGGTTAGGGCTTCAACAGATGGATTGGGGGAAGACACATTCAGTCCATTACAATATACATTAAGGTCCTAATAACATAGGAAACCAAAACTTGGGAGATACCTGATGGGGTCAAATGCTTCAGTCCCTAAGAGGACATATTTTACTTAAGACCATCTGTCTGCTTTTGGATAAAATGGAGAGAAGAGCCCAAGCCAACATCCAAGTGTTGTTATTGATGTTTTCACAAAATAYCAAGCACAGAGGCTAAGAAGCAAAATTTTGAGTAATGTTCTTTCTTACTAATCCAATGAGCCTCAAGTTGCTGAGAGCAGGAACAGCAGTTTGGCTGGTTTCTACTTAGGCTCCTCCTGTTTAAAATGTAAAAATARTCATTCAATATGTTTTAAATTCAAAATGCATCCTTTGACCTGGCAACATTTACATGTAGGAATGTAAGCTAAGGGAATATTATGTTGTTCAAGTGTAATAGTCACATCTAAGAAATATCTAATTAACCCCATGCATCTTTAAGTGTGCCTATCACATGCCAAATGTGAATGTTTATACAGTTGTATCCATAAAGACTGGTTTTTCTTGGGCCCTAAGCCAGTGCTATTTTTCATTGGAACACTGTTTATAATTGCAAAGGGTTGGAAATAACTGAATGACCATCAACAGAGAAATAGCTGAACCGATTCACGGACGTCCATACAAGAGAATATTGCGTCAACTGAAATGAGGTAACCTGGAAAAATAAGCCATATTAAATGAAACATGAGATACAATAAAACTTGTGGCAACCCAGTAAGTAGAGCATGACCCAAAAGAATGTGAGAGTTTGTGAGGCTGATTGTTAAACACAGGAAGATGTCAGAAACAGTGGAGGCCAAAATTGTTAACAGTGAAGTTAATTAGGGAATTAGGGGGGAAAGTATAGGTTAGTTTGGGAAGGCCTTACTTTGTACTTTGTTTTTGGCATTAGGATTGACCTGGGGATCACTGAGCCACATTCTCAGACCATTTTATTTTTTATTTAAAGACAGGGTCTCACTAAGTTGCTGAGGCTGSCCTTGAACTTGTGATCCTCCTGCCTCAGCCTCCCAAACAGCTGGGATTACAGGCATGTGCCACTGTGCCCAGCTGTACAACTTTTTAAAGTAGAAGTCTTACCTTTTTGTTTTTCAGGATTTGTTATATTTAGAAGAAACTTGTGAAGTCTCAACAGTTGGCTAAAAAGGTAAATGATGCAAAACTACTGACTCACGGACTCCAAGTTGTTATTAGGTGTCTCGATCACATCTACTGCTATTTGCCCTTTGAGCAAGTCATTACTTTCTCCAAGACTCAACTGTTTCCAGCCAAGAGAATTTCATTCTACTTCCTATGACTGTTAAAACACACACACACACACACACACACACACACACGAAACCAGATCAGATGTGGGAAGACTATAAACAGAAGAGTGATGCAGGACTGTAAGGCCATAGAAGTGGAGTCATCTGTAAACTAGAACAAAAATCAATTATATTTAATTTTCCTTATAATACCCGAGCTCCCAGCTTCTACTAAGATGTGTCTCCTCTAATAAAGGCTTTTGGCAAGCTACCTTGGCTCCAATTCAAATGCTTTATCCAGGACAAGTTTAAGATGGTCTGGCTGTGGAGCCTCCACTCATAAGCTAAGTTTGCCTCTTCTAATGTGGCCAATTTGGTTTTCCTTCTCAGTTTCCTGCTTTAGAGGGCAGAGACATCTGTAAAATGCATAGAGTTGATCTTTCCCTTTTCATGCTGAATAATCAATACAAGTAGTTTCTGGCCATTCAAAAATTACCTAGGGGGCTGGATAAATCTTCATTACCCAAAGTGTCCTCTAAACTCTTTACAGTCAATTCCACTTGGAGATCCTACCAACTAATTTGCTTTTGACTTTTCTAGAATTTCATATAAATGGAATTACCTGTACATAGTTTTCTACATCTGGCTTCTTTCACTTAACATAATGCTTTGAGATTCATTTGTGTTGTTTTGAGCACCAGTAGTTCCTGTGTATTGCTGAGATGTACTCCACAGAATGAATATACTGCAATTTAAACTACTATAACATTAAACATCTGCACAAAAATTGTTGTGTGGATGGCCTTACGGGTAAACCTAGAAGCAATGGCTGGGTAGTAGGTGTTTTACATTTTAAGAAACTGCCAACTATTTTCTTACATGGTTTATCATTTTATACTCTCAACAGCAGTGCATGATAATTCCACTTGTCTAACATCTGATCAGTCTTTTAAAATCTAGACATTTTTGATGGTATGCAGTATTTTATTAATGTGGTTTTCATTTGCATTTTTCCAATGACTAATGCTGTTGTGTGTCTTTGCAAAGATTCATATTTCTTTTAGGAAATTTTTTTTTCTATTCTTTTATTCATTTTTTGAAAACAGGATTGCTTGATAAATAAGTTGTAAAAATTCTTTATGTATGCTGGATACAAGCCCTTTGACTTGTGTCTCACTTCATTTTYACAATGTAAATAAAGGTCTACTCACAACAGAACTGGGAAGTTAAGGTGGAAGTCTTACATGCAAAATTTTACTATGTTAAACAATGCTCCCTACTGAGGCGAAGCATATTCCCTGTAATATGGTGAGGGTTTTTCTTAGTAGGCTGAGCAGAAGCTCCATAAACATAATTCTTGTTCCATTATCTTTTCAGTTATTTTTACTGCTACCCAAACTTTTACGTTTTATTATCAAGTCTCTTTTCCTCTTCTTCTTCTTCTTCTTCTTTTTTTTTTTTTTACAGTGCTGGTTATTGAACCCAGGGCCTCACACATGCTAGTCAAACACTAACTACCACTGAGYTACACCCCCAAGCTTCTATCATCTCAATAGTCACTGGGAAATTCTACCAAACATTAGATCCAGATTCTGTTTTCAAGAGATAGCACTTAGTACTTGAGCTGGATTCTAGATTAAAGCAGGAAAGGAAAATAAGATGTAAGACAAGGAGAACTGGCAGAGGTTTAGCGTCAGAGGGCTGCAATTATACTTCCCTATAAAATAAGCAGAAACTAGTAGCTCAATTAAGTATTTAAAACCATAATTTTATAACTGACTTATTACATAACATAAGGCTTAATGCAAAAATTAGTTTTTCATTGTTCTAATGTTCACATTGCACTGGATCAACACTTGCCCATTTTAACTCTTGTAAGCAGAACAGATCTATGGTGCATGTACTCAAGATTATCACAGAGTAGAAAAACACCTTCATGTTCTCGTGTTTTAAATATTTGTGTTTCAGGTTTTTCTTTCACTTTAAAAAGACTTCAAAAATGATAATTGCTCGACTGTAGTTGACTCTTAGAAGTTTTCTAAAAATATTGTTATTTTGTTGTTCCCAATGGAAAACACATGCCAAATGAAGAAAATAAAAGCTGAAACTCTTACTATCTCACATTTGTGAGATGTGTGTTCTAATTATCCTGTTTCACCCATAAGGGGTAAAAAAAAGTGGGATCCTGTTATGCAGGAGCTACGGGTGACAAGGAGAAACCTGCTGTCTGAGTAGCACTTCTGCTTCCAGACGGACCTGCACCCCCAGTGCACTCCTCTGGTGCTCATCCAAGAAAGCACACAGACACGTTCCAACACTGCACACGCCAGCCCAATGCAAGCTACCCAGGGAGGCAGGCGGAGCTTTTTACTTTATTAAACATTAAAGCACAAATGGATGCTCCCTGTGGAGTAGGAGAGGACACCGGAGGAGGAGAAAGGGACACTAGGGGACAGAACCGTACAATAGAGATCCATCCTCACAAAAAAGGCTCAATATTGATTTCCAGGGAGGAGCAGGGCATGGTCAGCTCAAATTTGGTGATAACATCAGGATGAAGGACTCCGAGCTTCCCAATGCTTTGACCYCTGGCAAAGATCTCAGCACATCGTCCAGGGAAGAAAGCAGGGCCTGAAAAAGAGAGAAAAATCAATGTTTCTTCTGGCAAAATGTCAATAGACATTTAACACTAAAAGCCCACAAGTCAACTTTAAAAATAACTATTCTTTAAAGCACAAGGCTAAGAAAGCAGTCCTCATACCCTCWAGTGTTAACAAGAAGCTATCACATCAAGGAACTCCTATGAAGAAAAGTTAGGATGAATAGGAAAATAAGGGCCCTGTGTGTTCATCACAGGGGTCCGAGCAGGAAGTATGAAATAAAGGAGGCTGAGGACACAGTCAGGAGAGCCTGGGTACCTGGAACTGTCCTTCAAAGGACAAAGGGGAAAAATGAAATGCAGATGGGATGCTGAGTGGGAGGAAGGAGCTGTGGAACAGCCGACAMCACGTCCACAATGGATTACTTCACTCCAGTGACATCACTCCTTTCTACCCGATTACATGGAGAAACCCAAGCTGCAGTGTCCTCACAAGCTACAGGGAACCGCACTGGCTAATTACAGGCTGCGTTGCCAGAAGGCGACCCATGTTCCCGTCTGAAAAGAGCTTCCTAAGCAGTTCTGGAGCATCTTCTGCAAAACCAGAGCAAAGGCCAGACCCAACAAGTCCAAGCTGATCCCTGCTTTACTTTAAGCCTGGCAGAAAGTTCTCTCTTCATCTGGGAGCCAATGCACTGACACAGTTCGCCAATCATTAACGGTTCTCAAGATTTAACTGGCTACAAACCAAACGTATAGGCCCATTCCCTAGTGGCTAAATTACCAGTGCCACAGGAGCGTATTCATGCCCTGGACTCTACTGAAGTTTAAGATAATGCTGACTCATTTCTCTAGCCACCCACTTGAAAAGGGTCAGGCCCACAGCTCCTGGCTGATTCAAGCCACGTTTACTGGCATGAACTAAAAATACCCAGYAGAGCCGGGCCACAAGCCTCCGGCCTGCCACTCAGAGTGAGTGCATTATTTATGGAAGAGCAAGCTGCTGAGTCTCCAAATGGCTTCAAGGTCAGCATAATTAGGAACTATAAAATAGGGTTGGAAGGGAGGGAAAAATCTGCTACTGTCAAGTTAATACCACAGATGCACAGAATTGTACACATTTTTCAGTCAGTATCGAAAGATGTTTTTTATATTTGTGGGAAAGACCTGAAAAATATTTTTAATCGTCCTTAACCCTAAGARTCTGGACAAAATGTAAGGTGGTCTGTTTCTCATGTCTGCCAACATAAACAATTCTGTTTCATGGTCAAAGCGAGAGTTCCAGTGAATTGCATTTAAGTACTTAATCCACACTTAGGAAAAGGGGTGAAGAAGGGAATCAAATGAAATAATTCAGAAACCAAACTGGAAGGATAATACAAAGTCCTGGTGAGACATGAATCATTGCTTAGTCTGATAAAGATGGTATATTTTAATTCTATTAAAATGAAAATCTAATGATTATCTCCCCAACCAGAAAGCAAATGAAATTTTCAAATGATAAATCAAGGAGTTTGTATAAAGTGTCAATGGTCAGCATTATGACTGRCAAACCCAAGCTGATAAAACCATAAACCTCAGAGATTGTTGGGGCTCCCTTCTCCCATCAGCCAGCACCCCTTCATACAACAGAGCTGAACACACACCTCTGAGAAAGACACTGGCCTARGTTAAAAGGCTCCTCAGAAAGGAAATATTGAAGACCTTCCCTGATAACCTTGCTGTACCAGAATCTTTCCTTTTGTCTATCTTCAATTTCAATTTGATTGGATTCATTTTTACTGAAGCATAAAACCAAACTATTTTCGAATCTAAGCCAGATGTGCTCATTCTGGCAAATGTTAGCAAAACAAAGCCTGAGAGATAAGAACTCAGAATTTTTACTTCATATAACCTTTGGATCAGCACTTTCTAGCAAAATTCAGATACGTTCTTTAGTTGCCAGCTTGCATTCTCTCTCTCTAGAGACAGCTGGATCAAACTTTGCTTAAGCTCATTAAGTAGGCAGGTATATGGTCAAACAAAATATTTGTGTCACCAAATACAATTTTCTCTTTTTCTAAAGACAAGCAAAGAGAAATAAAATTTGCATGATGCCTTAAGATATCGCCAAGTATGACAGTATTCTAAATGGCAAATGCCAGAAGTTTTCACCCTAGAGCTGGGCATGGTGGCATACACCTGCAATCCCGGCAACTGGGGTGCTGATGCAGGAGACTGCAAGTTCAAAGCCAGCCACTCACAACTTAGTGAGGCCTTAAACAACTTACCAAGACCCTGTCTCAAAATAAAAAATAAAAACRCCTGGGGGGATGTGACTCAGTGGTTAAGTGCCCCTGGGTTCAATCCTCAGTACCAAAATGAAAAGAAAAAAGTTTTCACCATAGCACATGAACCCATCTGAGTCAAAGGGCATCCAGAAGGTCTTCACTGAATCCCAGTGGAGCAGGCATTAAAGGGGCTGCTGTCCTTTCTCTCAATAAACAGTCTCCCCCACCCACTTAAAATGTAAACATTAAACCCAACACTGGGATTTCTGTATGAACTTCACTCTGCTGAAAACTGCACACTTAAAGCTGTGAGGACAACTTTAACTTCTCTTGTCCTTTTTTCAATTCTACAAGGTCAGACTATGATACAAATACTTAGCATTTCTGCATTTTGCTTCAATTAGAGCAAGGCTGGGGTTGTCCTAGATCTATACAAACTGAGCAGCATACAAAAGGATTCAAGTTATCAAGGGCAACAGACAGATCCTAAAAGATGTGCCACTTGACTGATGTTATAGGTGAATTAGAAATGCTGAAAAAAAATTTTAAATTACTAAAACATAAGCATTTCTTAGCGTTTTCAAAACCTTTATGGTTTTTAATTTTGGTTTTCTAATTTACAGGCAGAATTGCTTCACTAACAAAGGGGAAACACCCCACTAAACATTAATCAGTCTTGAAAGTTCAAAGGTGAGAAAGTCCCCATGCTAACAGAAGGAGGGCAGTTTAACTCTGTAACTTAGGTGGATCAACGTGGTCATCATGTGCTAGRTAGGACTGATGCATCTTAAACAGCAGTCTGTCCAGAAATAAAAGCAGTTATATCAGAATGGAACTAAATATGGGTCCAGGCTTAGGAAAACTCAGACCTGGATGGCAGCCAACTTCCAAAGGCTACTTTTATCTCACTGACAAACAAAAACATTTTTGGAAAGAGCACATCCTGTGTCTAGAGACACATAGTTGCCAATTTAAAGAGAATCATATTGTCTGGTGAAGAGGAACTCTAAAATTCAAATTCTGAAGAATACATTAATTAGTTTTCATTTATTTGTGTATTTAAGTCCAAATAGAGATCATGACTTCCTGGTATATCAAAATGTATAAACAAACAGTACAGAGTCCCACCTATGTCCTAAGCACCCCACCCAGGCAAAAGGCCTCTCCAGCCTACCCCTGCACCAAGGTCCCTGTGCTGATTAAACTCTCAGCTTGCTGATAGCCACCATGGAAAAATGGCTTCCAGCAYAAAATAGATCTGGGGGAAATTGTGCTCCTGTTGAAATACATGTGGAAGCCCTGACCCCCCCCCAAATCAGTTAAGCACAAATAAGAGTTTAATTTCCCAAACTTAGTGGGGTGTGAGTAAGCCCCTTAATTAAAGCCTTTGTGGCATCTTTTCAAGGTCTGTAATCGTCTCTGCTCTAACGGCAGGGCCACTCAGGACCTCAGGGTCATTCCTGGACCCATAATCCAGCACAGCACCCAGTCTTTAGCACATTTTCTGGCTAATTGACCATCAAAGAGTCTGTGAGCACCTCTCCTGCTCGTTGCCAARCACCTTTCACAGTTTCTTTTTGCCTCTTTTTTTTTTTTTTTTTTAGAGTAATAGTACAGGCCTAAAGTTGGGATAAGCTTTACACATTGAGCCATTCCTTTAATTTTATGAGCGTCAGAAGTAGAAGCTTAAGGTGGTAATGKGGCGCACTTCTCATCTGGAAGCATGGAGGAAGTTACCCGGCACTAGGTCCCTACTCCTTAATTCAAGTCCTACTGGCTATGACAACCCACTGATCTGGCACTTCACTTGGCCCATCTCTAAAAATCATCTATTCATATAACTTAACTCTTCCCTGTCTTTGGATCACCAGGACATGTTTTGAGGTTCAAATTCTCATATGACTGACTGCCTGCAATCTGGTACTTTACCACCCAAATTTTCTGAAAGAAAAAGAACAAAATAAAAAAGAGGACAGGAAATACTGGAAAAGGAATGTCCATAAATCATTTGTCACAGCTAATAACAGAAACAGTCTTTGTGAGCTTTCCCCAGATGTCAAATCCCCAATTCAGGAATGAAGTAGAAAATACAGAATTATATAGATACAGTAAGTCACTGGGGCCACCTGAATGTATTTTAATGAATGTAGTTTAAGTCTGATCTAAATGACTGATTGATGTAATATGATGAAGAAAGGAATAATCATTTAATAGGCTGAACTGTCTAGAGCTGGCACCTACCTCCCTCCCCACAAAGACAAACAAACAAACAAACAAACAAACAAAAAAACCCCACGTATTCCATTCTGGAGTGAAACCAACAAAGTGGGTGACAGGGCAAGGAGTAGAAGAGAGCTGAAAGCTGAAGCTATGCCTTCCTATGCAGGGCTTTCTCCTACTTTCTCACCAGTTTTCAGAGAATGTAAACTGTCTAACTCTGCTGCCAGTATGTCAGCCTCACCTTCCTTTTCTAAATAATGTATAGGACTTAAAAACTGCACATATTCCTACATGGGAGCATGCCATAATTCTTATGGGTAGTTGTTCTCAAAATTTTAGAACCAGCAGATTTTTGAGAACCAGTGGAATTACAGAAAGAAGGGGAGAACACAAGGAGGGAAAGGGTACAAGGTAGGCAAGACATTAACTTAAAAAAAGAAAGAAAAAGGCTTAGGAATATGAGGAGCCATAAGATCACCACTGAGATATAAACACAAAACATTTTTTCAGATCCCAGTACACTCAGAAGAAATGTCTCTGTA